ACAGGAATTATACAGATTGTTATAAAATAATTACATTTCCGAGAATTTGGGGAATAACTTATTGTTCACTCTCCGTCTTCTCTCTCTTTCTTTGAAACGGTGACTCATCCCCACTTGTTTCATTTATTTGTCTATGGAATGCAAGGTCAGATGCGTCCTGTTGTTTATCAACATGAACACAAGAACAAACATTCTTCAGGCTGTGATCAGTTCAAAAGACAGCAGCATTAACCAAGGAGAGCTTGGATGGCCTTCCTGCATCTAGGGCTCAGGGACCAAGCTTGTCCAGGCTCTGTTAGAGAATGGGAGAGATGTGCAAGCATAGCAGATTTCTAGTATGTCCACCAGTACCACAGAGCCTGTGACCTTCACAGTGGACCTCCTGTTGTTTAATAATGTTAACCAGCATAATGAATTTCCTGTTATACCTGTTCAATATGTCTGTGCATCAAGTTTAAATCAAGGATACTATATTATAATGGTGTAACATAAGACCTTATTTAGAAAACACTGCACTGTTTTCAACTGCATGTTGAAAAAAAAAGATTCCTTCTCAAGAACCAATCACAAGAAGAGTTATCAGGTTAAAGGCACATCCCACCATTACAGGTTAAAAGAATCTAACCTTTCAGGTAAGTTTTGTTTTGAAATTTTAAGGTTTAAGGATTTTTTGGCCAAAAAGACCTCACTCAAGTATTCAGAATCTTCAAAGGAAAACCAGAGGTAACGTGAGAAATGAGAGTCACGGGTTCGTTATCAAACATCTCACTCAAACATCTCCCTAACATCTGTGTGGCTTCCAACTGACTTTTTTTTCAGTCTTTCCCAACATCAGCTGATGAGCTGTCTTGGATTAACAAGCTGCTGTATCACACATACAGGCTGGCAGACCAAGATGAACATTTTATTTCCCAAAACTTACTTACTATAAACTTGTATCGTGAAACTCCAGAGTCCAGAGAAAGAGTTCTGGACAGGCAAGGTTGAATTTGGAGTGTTTTAATCTGCTGGTAGATGCTTTGAGCACTCAGGAAGACCGCATGACTGTGAGCCATGAAGCAGCTTTTTTAGCTAGGCACCCCAGCCTGGAATTAAACTCAGGACCCAAGAGCTGTGAGCCAGCAATAGAGCTACATCACCTTGTTAAATAAAATCTCAGACAACAAACTCTGATTTGTGCATCACCTGGAAGGGCACAGTATATCATTATTAAGAACACAGGAAAGGTGGCAAATGAGAGAAAGCCAAGCTGTCCATCTAGTATTTTTTTGTAAGTTCTTTGATCCAAAGTACTCATCTATCCGTTTCTTGAAGGATACCAGGGTACTGATTTCAACAAGAAGGCAGGGTTGCTTGTTGCATACTCCCACAGCCCTCTGGGTAAAGAACGGCCTACTGTTCTCAGTTTTAAATACATTTTATTCAATTGCCAGATTCATGCTCTTAGAGTTTTGTCATTATCATTATACATTGGTATAACAACATATACAGTAGCTATCTTATACAATTGTCTTTGGGAAGGATGATTTGCTGCACAGGTTTGAAAGTTATAAAGGTGAAAATCTTGCTGTATCTATTGTCATAGCCTTGGCGCTTAATCATCTCACCAACCTCATGAATAGTTTTATACTGTGAATTACAGCTAGAAACACAGAAAAAAATTAACTGGAGGAAAAAGTTTTTTCAGGAAGAAATGTATCCTGAAATTTTAAGAGCTTTATTCTGTATTCTATATTCTGTTTAGAAAAAGCTCCCAGTCTATGAGAATTAAGCAACATTTCCAACACTTTCCTATTAATATATAATTCAAAAATTTGCATTTGTACTTTCACAATAGACTCCAGGTCTACAGTCCATAAATATCAGAGCAGTAGCTGTTGGGGTACCTGTGCTCTAGGTTTGTTTGGTGGATATAACATCCACAAACACCTGTTTAAAACTGGTCTGTGTCAGAGAGTTACATATACACTAAAAGGAGGCCAGACCCTGACTACGGGTTCTCATTCTGATTATTCCCAAGCACTTCAAGTGTGCAGAGTGCACATGTAAAAGCAAATAAAAACATTCAGTTTATTTTCTTAAACACTGTAGACTATAAGGTGGGTTGTTACTTTGGCGAACAATGTTCTGTCTGCATTTGCCAAAGGATTAGAAGAAAGAGAATCGTTTTCAAGATTACTAATAATGTGTCAACGCATGCTTTGAAAACACACCACCACATGCTCCATGCAATGTAAATGTGCAATTAAGGTCACACATTCAAGCACTACATTTGTCAGCTGGGACTGTTGCCACAATAGTTTCTAGTCAAGGCTTGATTAATTATGGGGATGAGAGAGAGCCTGCCAGGCTCAAACCTGCTCTTAAATCTTCAGAACTGGCTATCTACAGGGTCTTGAGACTATATGTTGTAAACAAATTATATTGTTAGTTTTGTATAGTGTGTGCAAGGATCATCTCATAAACAGAATTCATGTTTTCAACAATGTTTTTTGAGGGTTAATTAAGCATCCTAATTACTATGACTGACGTGATTCTCTGCTAATAGGTCTGTTGTTTTAATTATTCAGTTAACACAATTTATTTTCTTGAACACTGTAGACTAGAAGATGGATTTTGACAACGGGAAACAACTTGCCAACATTTGCCAAGGGATTAGAGAGAGACTAATTTTCAAGATCACTAATGATGTGTCTAAATTTGTGCTTTGAAAACACACAACCACATGCCCCATGTAATGTGAATGTGTTCCTGAGGGTAGGTACCCCATAATGCTGACATCCCCTCAGATAGGGACACTTTCGTTTGCACATCAATTTCCTCTGGGAAAAGGGCAAGTTGACCTCAGTGATTTTCCATCACTTTACTTGCCAGAGCAACCCCACTATGATCATGGTACTTTGCCTGACACTGGTTGATAACAGTCATTAATAGAACTTGAAACAAGCAAGGAGAGAATAATGGAACCATGCAAAAATATGCAGCCCTTAGTTTATGGAACTAGTAAAGGTTTATTCCATGCTTTGAGCAAGGTTGAAAAAGGCTCCACAGCCGAAACATTGTGCATCTTTTCTTCTCAGAATTGAATAAACATTTACTTGTTCCTTTGCAGCCTACACATGCAACACACTACCTACTTGAACCTCCTTGTTTACGGATGTTTCCTGATTAACACTCTGACACATCTTCCACTTTCATGAATGGCACTAACAATTATGAGAAGATGAAAAACCATCTCTTCACCATCTAACGAGAACTGGCCAGCAGCCATATCACCCTGCAACTCACAACTGGCAACCCACTGAAGCAAAGCAGGTGTGAGCCTGGGCAGTACCTGGGTGGGAGACCTCCTGGGAAAAACTAAGGTTGCTGCTGGAAGAGGTGTTAGTGGGACCAGCAGGGGGTGCTCACCCCACGCGGTCCATGTGGGTCCTAATGCCCCAGTATAGTGATGGGGATACTATACTGTTAACAGGCGCCGTCCTTCGGATGAGACATAAAACTGAGGTCCTGACTCTCTGGTCATTCAAAACCCAAGGGCATTTCTCGAAAAGAGTAGGGGTGTAACCCCAGTGTCCTGGCCAAATTTCCCATTGGCCCTTACCAATCATGGCCTCCTAATAATT